TGAACCCGAAACCTCACAATGCAGCCAATAAGCCGAGACCGACCTGTATTTAAAAGAGGATGGGTCCATCAAAGAAAACCTTCTGCCCGAAATGCTGTGCGTGCTAGTGATTTTACAAGAATATGTAACTTCAACGCTCTGTACTCTCGTAAACCCAATGTACTCTCTTGTAAATAAATAATTTTTTTTTTTTTGAGATATATACTAGAGTTGTTACGTTCTTGTACAGCCACTAGTACGCGTAGAGTTTCAGGCAAGTCCCTGGAATACGACCCCCACAAAGAATTGCTTTACAACCGAGTACCCATTTTACTGTTGAGTTAAACAGAGGCTACAGTTAAGGATTTGTGCCCAGTAAATCCTACCCGGCCAGGATATGAACCCATGACAAAGCGCTCGCGGAACGCCAGGCGAGTGTCTTACCACTACACCACGGAGACTGACTAAATAAATAAATAATAAAAATAGGTCTGAGTTCGGCAAGAGATACCAAAAACAAATCTGCACGAGCCATCTAAGGCCTAACGCAGGATGACGGAAACCTCCAGAGACAAGACTAATCTCAGGTACTGGAACTGAAGCCAAGGGGAAGCAGCCAGGTTATCCTACTCAAACACAGAAGGGGGGAATATAAAAATTATCTCCTTGAAGTATAAAGACTTTCCATAGAGGCCACCAAAGTCAATGAAAAGTTGAAAAGCACCCACGGGCCATTCTTGGTCTTCACCTTCATCATGTTTGCTGATGATGCTAAGATAATAGGGAAGATAAGAAACTTAGATGATTATCATGCTCTTAACCCCTCAACTGTGCCGGCCAACAAATGTCGTTTTGAAAATTGTCCATTTTTTTCTTTTAATTAGGCTATATTTAAATGTTTTTAATGTTTTCATTACTCTGTGTTTTAAATGAAAATAGTTTAGTTTGGAAACATTTTGACAGTCTTTTTACCTGAAATTTTATATAAACAACAAAAATGTCCTTAACAATTGCACTTTGAAGTTTTTGCAAAAAAAAAAAAAAAAAACCAGGTGTGCAGGTCAGGGGTTAAAGAAGACCTGGACAAAATAAGTATATGGAGCACCACTTGGCAAATGGAACTTAATGTGAATAAATACCATGTTATGAAATGTGGAATTGGAGAACATAGCCCCCACACAACCTATAAATTATGTGAGAAATCTTTAAAGAATTCTGAAAAAGAGAGAGATCTAGGGGTGGTTCTAGATAGAAAATTGTCACCTGAGGACCACATTAAGAACATTGTGCAAGGAGCCTATGCTACACTGTCTAACTTCAGAATTGCTTTTAAAGACATGGATGGAAAAATACTAAAGAAACTGTTCACAACTTTTGTTAGACCAAAGCTGGAATATGCAGCGGTTGTATGGCGCCCAAGCACATCATCAAACTGGAAAAGGTACAAAGACATGCCACTAATTGGCTCCTAGAACTGAAGGACAAGAGTTACAATGGAAGGTTAGAGGAATTAAATATGCCAAAACTAGAAGATAGAAGAAAAAGAGCCGATATGATCATTACATACAAAATAGTAACAGGAATTGATAAAATTGATTGGGCAGAATTCCTGAGACCTGGAACTTCAATAACAAGAGATCATAGATTTAAACTAACAAAACAAAGCTGCTGGAGAAATATAAGAAAATTCACTTTTGTAAACAGAGTGGTAGATGGTTGGAACAAGTTAGGTGAGAAAGGGGTGGAGGCCAAAACCGTCAGTAATTTCAAAGCGTTATATGACTAAGAGTGCTGGGGAGACGGGACACCACGAGTGTAGCTCTCAAACTGTACCTACACTTAGATAATTAATTACACATACATGCATACAAATACACACACACACACACTGGAGTATGCAGCCCCAGCATGGAGTCCATATCTAGTCAAGGATAAGACTAAACTGGAAAAGGTTCAAAGGTTTGCCACCAGACTTCTACCTGAGCTGAGAGGTATGAGCTACGAGGAAAGACTACGGGAATTAAACCTCACTTCGCTGGAAGACAGAAGAGTTTGGGGGGAACATGATCACCACATTCAAGATTCTGAAGGGAATTGATAGGGTAGATAAAGACAGGCTATTTAACACAAGGGGCACACGCACAAGGGGACACAGGTGGAAACTGAGTGCCCAAATGAGCCACAGAGATATTAGAAAGAACTTTTTTAGTGTCAGAGTGGTTAACAAATGGAATGCATTAGGAAGTGATGTGGTGGAGGCTGACTCCATACACAGTTTCAAGTGTAGATATGATAGAGCCCAATAGGCTCAGGAATCTGTATACCTGTTGATTGACGGTTGAGAGGCGGGACCAAAGAGCCAGAGCTCAAGCCCCACAAACACAACTAGGTGAGTACAAAAAAAGAAGTTGATTGACAATTGAGAGGTGGGCCAAAAGAGCAAAGCTCAACCCCCTGGAAGCATAACTAGGTGAATACACACACACAAAGCAGCCCCTCCATTTACGAATTTAATCCGTTCCCAGAGACGGTTCGTAACCCAAAAATTCACAACCGAAACAAATTTTCCCATAAGAAATAATGTAAATTGAATTAATCCATTCCATACTCCCCAAAATATTAACTTCAAAATACATTTCATACCAAATATACACAAATATTTAGTACTATAGTATGTACAAGTTATAGCTTACCTTTATTGAAGACTCTTGTTGGCATATGGAGGACGGTGAGGAGGGGGAAGGAGGATAGGTGTTTGTGTTTGGAGGGTGAGTTCCCTTCCATTATAATATCAATCACTGATGACTTCTCTGGGGTACACTCCCTCCTACATTTTGCAGGCATACCACTAGGAACTGGGTGTGGCTCACTGCTTGCTTGTCTTGCTAGGAATCAGTCTAAAGACATTTGTTTTCCCTACATTTTAACACTTGCCTGTAGTGAGACATCACATTGTCATTAATAGAGTCAATGCAATGGTCTGCCAAAGCTTTATCTCGGCAAGTCTTTTTAGCAAAACTTTGCAGTTCTTCCCATACTGCACACATTTTCTTAATTAATGAGGAAGGGACATCCTCTACTGCCTCCTCTGTCCTGAAGATTTGTTGTACTGCCTAGCTAGTTCAACAACCCATGTACCATTTTCATGTTTATGAATGATCTCTTGTTTTTTCCTCTATGGTCATGTTGACATGTGTTTTCTTAGGTTGAACCTTACCACTGTCTTTCATGGGACCCATGGCGTGATATACAGTATAATAATTACAGTACTGAACCTGTACTTTAATGTTCAAAACCCAAAAAAGGAGAAAACAATGAAATTCTTTACAAAGAATTCAAGCGTGATCGACACCAGGAACCACGCGCTCGGTCCCCCACATGCGTATCAACAATCTACGTAACTTAGGGCAAAGCTTGTAACCCAATTCAAATTTTACGAAGAAATTGGGCTTGTAACCTGAAAAATTTGTAAAGAGGGGCATTCGTAAGCCGAGGTGTCATTGTATATACTGTATATGTATGTGTGTAAATTATGAAAATTAACAAGTGATGGAAAAGTGACAGTGTCAGACCACAGAGGAAGAATTGAAATGGGAATTTCCTTAAGTACTTTCGTATTTAATAATACATCTTCAGAAGGATCAAATTATTAAATACAAAAGTACTTAAGGAAATTCCTGTTTCAGTTCTTCCTCCGTGGTCTGACACTCACATTTTTCATCATGTGTTAATTTTCGTGATTTACACACATACGCGTGTGTGCATGTGTGTGTGTGTGTAATAAATAAATAAATAAATAAATATATATATATACACAGTATATATAATGTCGTACCTAGTAGCCAGAACGCACTTCTCGGCCTACTATGCAATGCCCAATTTGCCTAATAGGCCAAGTGATTTTTTTTTTTCCAAAAATTGTTTCCAATTGGTTTATTTGAATTATTATTATTATATTTTACTAGGAACGTAAATTATTGACTTGGTTATATTAGTTTAGGATAGGTTAGGTAGGGTAGGTTAGGTTCAGTCGTATATCTACGTTAGTATTAACTCAGATTAAACAAAATGAACTCATACATAATGAAACGGATAGCTTTATCATTTCATAAGAAAAAAATTAGGAAAAATATATAAAATCAGGAAAATAAATAAATAAATAAATAAATAAATAAATAAATAATATATATATATATATATATATATATATATATATAAATAAATATATATATATATATATATTATATATAAATTAATGTACTCACCATATATAGTGTACTCACTCAGCTTTGGTCCCAAACATGCACACAGAAATAACATCACATGAGACCAGAAGGCATGGCAGGACGTGCAGAATACCCCCTTTGAAAAGCAGAAGTGCAACAGGTACTCTGAGAGAGAACTCTATCAACATCAGAGGCCCGAGACTGTTCAAAACGCTTCCAGTACACATAAGGGTCATAACTGGCCGACCCCTCACAGTGTTCAAGAGAGAATTGGATAAGCACCTCCAAAGGATACCTGATCAACCAGGCTGTGATTCGTATGTCAGGCTGAGAGCAGCCGCGTCCAACAGCCTGGTTGACCAGTCCAGCAACGAGGCCTGGTCGATGACTGGGCCGTGGGGACGCTAAGCCCCGGAAGCACCTCAAGGTAAGGTAAGGTAACCTAGTTGAGCTTGCAGAAGTTGAGCTTTGACTTTTTGGTCCCACCTTTCAACTGTCAATCAACTGGTGTACAGATTCCTGAGCCTACTGGACTCTATCATATCTACATTTGAAACTGTGTAAGGAGTGTGCCTCCATCACATCACTGTCAAAGTTTGAGTGAGTGTGAGTGACTCACACTCACTCAACTCCTTGGGCAAGACCTTATATCAACAACAGTTTTGTTCATATTTTCAGCACATCAAAACAATTTACATATTTGTACATGAAAAAAAGATAAATCTGGTTACATGAAACCAGATAAAGATTTACACAGATGTAAACACAATTCACAAGGTAAAATTATATACCTAGTACAGTGAAAAAATTTATTGATCCATTTATATGAAACACAGACTTGACATACACATAACGTGCGCCTGTACAGCGGGACGCGCGGGAAATCATGGTACACAGGTAGGCGGGGGTCGGCGGCTATGAGACTAGACCAGGGCCTGGCGATGACAGAGCCAGAGATCATGGCCCTCTGATCATGCTCTAAACTCGTCAAGGCTATAAATCTGAATGAACTGTCAAACGGTAAAATCAGTATAATTACAATGGTCACAAAAAGGGGGAGTGTAAAATTGCTGAGTCCACATTATGACTAAGAGACCCTGGAATGCAGAAGGATGTGGAAGGCCGCCGACCTTCCTCCACAGTTATATACAAACAGCCTCATTCTCACCGAGGCTACAGTTTACTCAGCAACGAAAGGATTGTGTTGGTCCTGGGATGCGAGCTAAGTAGACAATGATAGAATTTGTATCAACATCATTAATAATTAATACCAGTAATGATTGTATCAAATGGTCTTATGAGTACTAATATAATACAAAGGAACTATTCACAAATGAATGTACATAGATGGGTGTGAGATTAGAGTGAGAGAGAAACTCAACTGTAGCTCCGAGACCATTGAGAGAGTAGCCAGTCTCAGCCGGAGTTGTTACACCTTCTATACCTTACACATGATATCAGATGTGAGCACCCCAGTGAGACCTCAGTTTATATTTAATTTGAAATTAATTTATTTGAATATTTTCTTTATGTATTTGTTTCTACATATTTTCTTTTCCTAAACAGACCCCCCCCACTCACTGAGTCTCTATTGCCGTAGGTGCCGAATTAAGCTCAATTTATGGTAAGAGATTTTATACATTCTGAAATATTACACTTTTTAAAAAACAGGCATATTCAAGTTATTGCAAATATCCTTGTCTGCACTCACGTCATAATACCTAAAAGCTTAAAAACATGGAAATACATGGAGGATCATTAGTCCATAGCTCTTTTTAAAAAAGTACATCCTTGTTATAAATAAGGAGCATCATCACTAAAATCCTGGCCATCTCCAACTACATAACAAAATGATTGATATAGTCAGCTGCTGTGGCACTGTGAACATGATTAAAATATGATGAAATGGGAACTTATCCCACTCAAAATTCTAAAAGAAAGTAAAATAAATGTAAATGATCATTAATGATGGAGTGATTTATGAATACACCACTGGATGTGTAGATCCCTCAGACACCCATGATGAATGAACCAAATTTGGGAACACAGCTACACTCATGAGCACATCAAGGCTCCCTCATGTTGAGCTCTGCCAGCATGGTGGAGCTTCATCCTCTTTATCAGATTCATTGGCACACACAGCCTATCCTCTCATACCAAGGCAAATGGGCTACACCCACTAGTCTGTCAGAGGTCATGATACTCCTTCCTGATGTTATAAGCTACAGTCATTCTGTAAACCATTAATGAAGGGTATGTAGGATACAGAAAAAAAAGACATTCTCATCTCCACCATGCAAGCAAAATATGCTCAAAAAGCTGAGAGGTCCGCAAAACACCGAGACAACACACACATGGCTTTCTCCTCTGCGCACACACTCACGCATGCACATGGCAGTAACAGAATGCGCACACAATCACACACGCAGTTTCGTACACATAGAAATATCACATGAAAACTTGAAACATCTTAAAGTTTTTGCACATATGAAATAATGGTACATACGGTAACAGAGCAGCGACATGTTAATGCACTCAGTTTATAAACCTGGACAAACAGAAGCTTATTAAGAGTAATGATTGCTATGCTTTTAAATGCAGGGAATATGGATGACCGTCTGTACAACATTCAGGGAGATCTATGTTGTAAAATAATTTATTTCTCCCTGTGAATGTCTATCTGAAAAAAATCCATTAATATACTGAATAATTCTGATATAAATTGAGTTTCCTTGGGCAACTGAATGCCAACAATGACATTCCTTCACATCATTTTATGTATCCAAATAACAATAATGGTGAATTTGGAATTACAGTATCACGAACTCTCCAACACTGGACTCTCTTTGCAGTGGCTTTTTGAGCGGAGTCTTGTTGTGTAAACAGCAGAGTCTTGTGCTGGAGTCATGTGCAATCTTGATGGAAGACGGAAGAGCAAAGGTCAAACGAGTGTTCAGGGCAGGACTGGCAATTAAAAAAGTGACACTAAACACAAGATGCTGTTTTCTGACACACTGTGAGTGAGCACCACTTAAGTGCTAACCATATAGTTTTGTCCAGGTAGCAGCACTTAGCTTGCAGTCTACATTGCACATATAAGAAACAGCACCAAGATAATCTCATTAAAAAACACTGACTGCAGAATGCACCTTCACCAGTCATATTTGGGTTTATTAGAAGCCTGGGAATTTGGTACAAAATTACTGTAGTGCATAATGTAAAGTCTTGCTGCTTCTGTTTCTTGCTTGCTGCCAGGCAAGTCTGTTCGTTGCTTTGTTGCCTATTTTTCATGCTCACTCCGGGGCACCATTGTAGCCTTGGGTGTGAGGCACTTTGTTTTTCTGTCTTGTTGCACACATAGCAACACAATTTGAGCAGAAACACAGCACTCCTCACCACCAAGCCTCAAGTGAATCGAGGCTCTTCATATTCAAATTCATACACCTGAGGTGTCCCTCTGTTGGGAAACTGTGCACTTCCATATGCCCCAGGTGAGAGTCTGGCATGCTGGGGAACACCGTAAAGACCATACACACTGCCATCTACCCCCCCTTGGCTCCCATCTCCCATGGCTGCACCTTGTCCACGGTACGTGAACATAGTTTCCAACTGGCCATCATAAACAGCAGATTGTGGCGGAGAAACACCGTACGGTCCCCCGGGATACGCGTGGTGTGGGGGGGATCCTCCATATGGACCTGGAGAGTAGGAACCAGGACCCACAGAGCCTGAAGTCGGAACTCTCTGTTGATCTGGTCCAGCCCGTGGGTCAGGGGGGGCGTCCTGTCATTCTTGATCGGTTGTCATTATGTTGTGCACTTGCTCTAGCCTGTAAGCCAAACGATTCTTTGTGGAGAACTCGTCCTCCTCTAATGTAAGCATCAGCTGGTCGCTGTACTTGAATGCATAGTTATATAACTCTGCTAGGGCTGCTAGACTGTTGAACTCGGTCGTGTGCATCTGAAAAATAGGTGAATATAGTTAATTAAATAAACATTTTAATTCAAAATACCCAACAAAAAGGCTTTTTAAATATCAACTCCCACTATATATTATACTTACAGACAAATTTAGTTATACAAGACAGACAACCATACGGTACAAACGTGTCTACATACTATATAATCAGTGTTAAATAGACTACATCATGGTGGCCAACGAACTAAAGGGTTGAAGTTTATTATTTTTAATTAATGAGCTATATAAACTACTCAGGGTAACTGGGGATAACTGCACATGCTAAACTGAATGACTGTGTATTAATTGCCGATGCAACACAGCATGCTAAAAGTTCAATGCTCGCCCACCTTGACATCCTGGATAACATAGCTAACCTTCGTTACACCTGGTGAATGGGATGGCAGGTAGCAATTAAGGAGAAATTTGAATGTCAACTACACAAGATGGAATTCCTGGTTCATGTTATACCACGACCAAGACAAACTTGGGTACATAATAGTCACACGGTTTAGAAAGATTGCATCTACTCGACATCCATTCTCACTCAAGAGAATAAATAAATTTGATTCTTGTTCATGTTGATATCAACATCAATTCAGTAGTAAAAAGCCAGCACTGAAAGTAATGAAATGCTAATTTCCTGGTGAGCCCCAGTGGCTCCCCTGAAGCTATATGCTGAGATGGTTACCATCATTCACTGTAGAGTTGTTAGAAGCCTACCGGGACCAGAGCCAGAACCCGGTCCCCCTCAAAGAGGCACAGGGAGCAGAAACATTTTCTCCACCTCACTAGGGAAGGCAACCAGAAAGTCAAGAGGAATCAGAAGAGGAAGCTGGAGATGTAGCAGCGAATGGGGCCCCATGAATACTGGAACACTTGATGATATACTGGATTTGTACCCAAGATTGACCATGTAATGTATCAACTATATGGTGTATGTAAAAGCACCTTAATCACCTTCAGTGGTTAAGTACTTAATAACACACTAGTTTCTCTATCAGCTATCTTACCCTCTCAGAGTAGGAGAGCCATAAATGTATGTGTATGTACGTAATACACAAACGTATGTAGATATATATGTGTGTGTATATGTATATGTATATATATGTATGTATGTATATATGTATGTATGTATATATGTATGTATGTATATATGTATACAAGAACACATCGACCACTTTATGTACAGCAGACTTAACTCTGTGTATCTATGTATTTATGCCTGTAGGTTAGATTAGCATTTTAAAAGCACTACAATCACCTTCTGTGGTTGATTGTTCAATAAATCCTGAACTACATGTTTAACAGATCTCTTACCCTGTCCATGGAGGACAGAAGAAAATGTATATATGCTGGTTAGCATTGTAAATGTGTGGCCACGACTGTGGTAGAAAATTATAATAATAAAAAAAAAAGTGTGGCCCCACACCCAACAATCATGGTAGTGATGAAAGGGGCTGTCCTGGAAGTACCAGAACAGCTGCCAAAGCCACAGGATAAAGTAAGTAGGCAAAGTTCAGGCTCTTGCATAGCCGCTTGAGCTCGAGCATCAAGTCGCCTGGGACTGACTCAACACCAACAAATGGCAAAGCTGCAGCTGGGTCAAAGCCATTGGAGGAAAGAAAAGGGAAGCTGACCGAGAGTCCACCACGAGGCTGAGCCAAGTTCAAACCTGAGAGAACTGTCACTTATGCCAGTTCACTAGGAACCTGAACTTGGCAAGTTGGGAAGAACTAGATCCCTGGCTAGAAGACCAGCTGGGAATTCACACCAGCCAGTTGCTGAGGTAGGCCAAAACCCCCCCAACAAATGAGGACGAGTCATGACAACATGAGCCAAAAAAAGTGAACACACATGAGGTTGGCTTCAGCTCAAATAGGAGAACCCAAAAGAGGTAAGGGAGGCAGGGGTTGAACCGGTTCAACTACTAAAGGTTGAGGATGAATCTCAGGTCCAGAGAGTTCCCTTTCAGGACTGGGAAGAGGCAGGAAACCCACTGAAGCAATACAGTCACTTCAACCATGATGGAAGCCACCTACTCTGAGATGAACCAATGGAGGCAAGTAGAAAGACACGAGCCTCCAGAATGGGGAGGGACTGGCCAACTCCAGCGCAGGCTGCGGGGAAAATGACTTAACAGCCTATGAACAATGGGACTAGGAGTTGACAAACTTTATGAATCACCCCCTCAATGCCTGATCAAAAGGGCAAACCGTGAAAGGGCTGGCATGAATCATAAGTAGTGGATACCTTCTCAGCAGAGCGAGCATGACGCCGACCTAATGGAGAAGGACCGGCTGAGGAAAGCACTTGCAACCCGGCATCTGGCTCCACAGATGACCTACCTCAACCTACAACAGGTGGTGCCCTAACTCTACCTGACCCCCCTCCAGGAATGAGAACCTCCAAGACAGAGGTGGTCCTAAAGAGGTTGACAGGCCGCAACTGTCGACAAGAGGAACTGCACCACCCCATCTTCAGAAGAGGAGAGGAGAAAATGGGGAGGCAGACAGGAGAGCCAAGACCCATGCCAAATCCAATGAATCCAAGGATTGGGCTAACACAGCCTGTCGGGCAGCAAAGAATGTGGCCAATACAACCATAGCAGAGGCAAAGACCCCCAGCATGCCAGGTTCTGGCTCAGGTCCTTGGTAGGCCTCTAGAACTATATGGCTGATGTGACCCAGTAGATGATAACCATCTCAACATACAGCTTCAGGGACCCACATGGGGCTTTCCCTAGAACAGTCCTTGGTGATAACTCAAGAATCTTCAAACAACACCAGTACCTTAAATCTTTTTGGGTCTTCCCCCTCCCCCTCCCCCTGACCCCCAAAGGTCAACATCCTCTACTGCCATGCTAAACGGTCATATTGGTCATGGAAATTCTGTTTGGCCTACCAGGAACCAAAGCCTTGCCCACCTCCACTCAGAGGCACAGGGAGTGATTGGCAATTTGCCACCCCACTGGAAAAGCATCCTGAAAGTCAGAGAAACTTTACCAACAACTGGAGGATTCATAGAAAAAGCCTCAAACTGCCAAACAACTCTGTAAATGATTCATAAGGTACAAGAGATTCACTCAAACTAGCTCAAAGTTCATTACTGCTAACTGCCATCAGAGTAGCTGGCAAGGGCCAGCTACTCTGGCCAGTTCTGCTGCTGATGCTGGAAGGTTCTACCAGTAGTGATCCAGTCCACCAGTCAGAGGCAAACCCCTCTGCTTCAAACTAAGTGCCAGACATCTTTGAACTTTATTCATCCTGTGGGGGCCCATTTGCTTGTGTATTTTTATTTTATTTTAGTATTAGCCTTCCCAACGGTGTTAATCTGGCCCAGTGTGTTCACAAGTTGGCACAGATTGTTGTGGCCCGGCTGCATTTCTTAGGGGTTCATATGTTGGCCTACTTTGATGACTGGTTGGTACCCCCAACAAAATGCATGTCAGCTGGCTAGGGACCTGGTTCTTTCCCAGCTCGCCAGCTTGAATTCCTGGTGAATTGGAGGAAGTCTCAGTTGGTTCTGCTCCAGGTTTAGACTTGGTTGGGCCTAGTTTGGTACTCTCGGTCAGTTCCTCTGTCCCTGATTCGTTGCTTTGTTCTGCCTGCAGCTTCTTCACTGACAGGTATTGGATCAAATCCTGGATGACTTGTTCATTGGTTGAGCAGTTGTGTCAAAACCTGAACTTTGCCTGCATGGTTTACTCGCTGGGCAGGGTTTGGCTCTGAGCATTGTACTGGCCTCTCCTATTTTGCCCCTCATGGAGCAAGCAGGTTCACACCCAATCCACCTTTCATGTGTTCTTGCTTAGCCAGCTTCCCATTTAGGTTTTTTGGGGTTCAGTTCCACGGTGTCATCTTCCTATCACTCAATGAGTTCATGAACACCTTGTCTCTGGATCAGGGCTTTGAGACCAGCAATAACCAGGCTACCCAGGCTTGTTGGTCGGGTCTGTTCCTTCGACCACACAGTATGGTGCACAAATTTGTAGCTGAGGCATGCACTGCAGAGGGTTTGCCTTCCTCTTGGCTCTGTGCTGACTCCACTCTGTCTGCCCTTCAGTGGTTCATTGCTTGTACTGAGGGAGGGGATCACTATGGTCAATCACCCTATAGAGCTGGATGTTTTGAATAGCTTGACTTCTGGATTCTCAGGGTTTGGTTCTTCACACAGTCCACATGTGGGTGAGTCCAACATTCTCACAGATGGGTTATCACTTCCATTCCATTTCCACAGAGTGGACTATTAACGATGCGTCCTTTCATTGGCTCTGCAAGATGTTCAGTTGCCCTGAGGTGGAGCTCTTCACATTGGCATGTAACTGTGCCCTTCCCTCCTATGTGGCTCCCTTCCCTGATCAGGAGACTCTTACAGTGATTCCATCCATGTTGACAGCAGACAGCCAGGAAAACTCAGGAACTTCACAATAAATCCAAGGAGGAGAAGAAGACTCAAACTCAAAAGAGACCTGAACCATCAACGAGGCAGTATGTGGGTTGCATAGAAGGCATACAGAGAGCCTCCCGAGCCTCCGCTGGGGGATGGCAAGAAGTTGGAAACCTCTGAAAGAAGATATCTGAGGAACCTAAAGGCATCTGGAAACAAACCCTGGGGAAAGCCACTCCCATATATAACTCATACAGGGAGAGAGGGGATGCAAAAACCCCTTTTCCTGCAACAGAAGACTCTCTGCAGAAGGAACAAGAGCCCACTAAGGATCAAACAGAATCCAAGGACCCATCTCGGATTTCTCCAAGCCCCGAGACCCACAGCTGAGGGTCTCAGGGAGGAACTGCCCAGGATAGAGAAGTGGAGTCTAAGGGAAAGACTTCAGATGTTGGGGTTGGCTGAAAAGAAGATCCAGAAGCCTCAGCAGGATCATCAGGCTCAATTGCCTCCATGCCCATGTTAGAAGGGGCGATCCTCGAAGCTGATCAAACCACAACCCACAGAAGCCTCGGGGCTTAAAGCAAGGGTGGAGGACTAGAGGGAAGGGAAAA